CGCTTTACCGGGGAATTTTGCCGACATCTCGACCTGAGAGCAGTCGTCACCAAACATGTTCCTTTTAAGGTTCAGCCTAAACCCTAATACCAGGTTTTGTTCTAGGAATCTCCAGCTCACAGGAGGTTTAGCTAGTCTTGCTGTTCTTTGGGAAGGGGCTCGGCAAAGTTCGCACCTCTTAGCAGAAGGAAGAACGTGGAAGACTGGCATGAACAAATCTTCTGGATGTGAGCTATAGTCTAAACTTCTGGTATCCCCATTACTAACACGTATAATACATCCCGTATGAACTCCCCTGTATAATCCTTTTTAAGGAGCTCGGACTATGTAGCTCATGCGTTGGATCATTGACCATCATGTAGCGAAACGCGGGTTACAGGAGGTAGTTTCCATGAACAAGGGGACCTGTGATCGTTATTGTATGGAGCCTGAGAGAGGGATTCCTAATTTTGGGGATAGTCCCAGGTGCAGGTGGAGAGGAGGGTTGGGTCCTGAACTTCTTTATTTTGGACTTCATCTGGCCCAGGGAAGCTGCTTGAGAATGCATTCAAGAGCGCCTTTCGCTGCAACGCTGTGAGTCCTGGAGGGATTTGAATTGATGTCACGCGTCCAGGATCTTACAGAACTCTATGATTTCTAGGGCTCTAGGTCTTCCAGGAGTGTACAGAACTCTAGGTGTTCCAGGAGTTTGCGGAACTCTAGGTCTGCTGTAGCGGCACGCAGCTCTTTTGCTGGACTTGGGACGGAAGCGCTTCAATGAGTTCACCACACATGCAATCCCTGCCATCCCCAAAAGAGATCCGTGAAGGCTCCCTTCCCCTAACATTTCAACGCGCTTTACGTTTCAGGGTCTAGGGCTTGACAAGAAAACAATGGATCTGACAAGCTCAGTGCTGGGCCACACCACCAGTGAAGCAGAACTTGTTCCAGCTTTGGAGCATTGATGACGTGTAGGGCCGATGCCTCAGATCGTTGGTTTCTGAACCCTAAAACCTACCTGTAACCCCAAGTACTGATGTGCTATATTTTCTTGTTAAAAGTGTAAGAATTACTGAAATGTAGGTACGTAATTGTGGTTCAAATGCTAAAATGTGAATAATTAATAGTTCAAAAGTTCGCCCTCAACTGACCCCCTAGCCGAAAGGTGAATCTCCATATTGAAGCGGACATGGGTTTAGGGTTTAGGGTTCAGGGTTTAGCATTTAGGTTTTTCCGGTTACCCTCCAGCTACCGTCAGGCAACGCAGACTTAGGGTTAAGGGTTAAGGGTCTATAGGATAATTTCCCCCAAAACTTGGTATTGTCCAAGTGCCCGCACAAACCAGACAACAGCAACTTACACCCGAGACCCTAAACCTCAAACCCTCAACCCTCAACCCCAAACCCTAACCCCCAAACCCTAAACCCTGAACCCTGAACCCCCTAAACCACAAATCCCAAAACCCTAGACCCTAAACGCCAAACCCCAAACCCTAAACTTTAAACCCTAAACCCCAAACCCTCAACCCTAAACCCCAAACCCTGAACACTAAACCTTATAAACCCTAAGCCCTACACCATGTGGCGTTCTTAGGACCACGGCTCCCAGGTGAGAATCCCCCATAGCTCTCAGGTTTAGGGATTAGGGATATTTAGGGTTTGGGGTTTGGGGTTTAGGATTTAGGGCTTAGGGTTTAGGATTTAGGGCTTAGGGTGTGGGATCTAGGGCTCAGGGTGTAGGATTTGGGGCCTCAGGTTTAGCTTTAGGGTTTTAACTTCCCTGGACCCCCGGTAGAGATCACAATTATAGATAACACAACATGGTTAAACTTTTTTGAGGGAACTTCAAGATAGCAGCTGCCATCAGTACATACACATTCTGATGCAAATCAAAGACATAAGAGCCTTGCCCGGCCCATGGGCCCTCTTGTTATAACTGTCTCTCCTACACAGTGACTCAAAAATTGCGTAGAAAACTCCAACCCCATAATGAGTGAGTTAATTAGGAGACATTATAAGACCATTACAAAGCCTTCAGTTGCACATGCAGCTTTAGCCTGAATCCCGAAGTTCCGAGAATGGCCCCCGCCCCCTTTCTCCTCCAGCGATGTCGGTGTATCTCTGAGGAACCGACTGCGTCTCCTTGATGCCAGTACTACCTGGGTTCTACTCCAGCATTCAGAGTCTGGGCGATTTTAGGGCTAAGAGGCTTAATGGTTCGGAGATTCTTATTACAACTTTCGACCGAATAGCCAGATGCAACGAACCCGAAGAAGGTTTTGACTGTGAGCGCTGGCCTAAGATTGTCAGCCCAGCCACCGTTGACGACGTCCAGGTAACTCGAAACATTGGAGATTCGCAGCCTCGGCCAAGATAGCTGCAGACCGGCCTAGATCGGAGAGGTCCAAGTCCACAAGGCAGAAGTCAACTCCTAAACCCCAAGGGCTTCCGCAAAACGAGAGCATGTCTAAGCAGTAGCTGAACTAGCCCCCACATTACGTCAAGCCCGCTCGGGCTGAGGCTTCACTACCCTAAACCCTAAACCTGACACTCTCACCCGAAAAGCTTTGGTCTTAGGGTGTTGGGACAAGCTCAGGTCTGCACCATAGGTTCCCCTCGCTGGTGGTCGCATGCGCGGGTGAGTCATCGTAGGCATTCTCCTGACTATAGCAGCCCTAAACTGAAACAAGATCAGGGCTAAAGCTGCGCTGAGTTCATAAGATCTCCGTGAGTTTCCAGGGCTTAGCGTTTAGGATGTAAGGTGCCCACTCAACAACTTTTTCCAACCTCAGACATGTGTGGTGAATCCCCAAGTACTAATAGTTAGTTGGACCAGGAAAAAATTGTTTCTCCGAGTTCGTCCCTCGGACGTTTAGGACTTCGGCATTTGTAGGGACCATAGTGGAGAACCAGGTGGAACTGAAATGAACACTAACTACTATTCATCTGTTCATGAAACCACTTGGCACACAGGCAGGCAGCTCGAGGTGGGAACTCTACCAGCTGGTGCTCGGGATGGGGCTTCGCTAGGCTCGGCCCCTTGAAGACTTTCTGGAATCATTTTGTCGGTGTCTTGGCCGGTGCTAGAACCAAAGCTGTGCTTGACTCAGCTCCTTTCAGACATCATAACACCAATTTGCCTTGTTTTTGAGCCGTCCTAAAACCAAAGCTGCAGATCGTCCTGTCTTGTATTGCCGCTTTGGACTTGTTTTGACTGGTGCTGACATCAAAACTGTGCTTTGTCCAGCGGCTTCCAGCGTGTTTGTGACATGATCGCGTAACTGGCGCCTTGGCCGGTGCCATAAACACCTTGACCCTGCCGGGTGTAGTCCCAGAGAAACCACTCCACAACCTCAAGTTCTAAGGTCGAAACCTTGCATTCCCAATCCAAATACAGGCCCCTACCTGTCGTTTGTGTCCTGGTGTGAGATGATAGGGTATAATGTTTAGGACACGCTTCTAAAAAGCTCGAAGGCAGGACGTTCCAAAGACCCGGCATGCAGGACAGCTACCCAGGCCTTTTGGTGCAATTTTGGGACAATGGAAAACAAACTGGAAACTACTATATTGTAGGGATTATATGGGGGCTATATAGGTCCCTTGTAAACTTGGATGAACTTGACTGCCTGGGCTTCATATTTGCAACTGACAGGTAATCCCCATTTACTGATGTCGTCTTAAACAGCCCAGCCCTGAATCGACCGGCAAGAGTGGCGTTGGGGCTTAAAAGAAATACCAACACACGGTTTTGAGGTCCAATTGAAATACCCAATATATACCATACTTCAAGAACCTAGGACCAGAATATTGGAGATACGTTAAGTACCTTTTCTGTTTTCAAGCGGCAAGCAAGGACGATAACATTGTACTTGGTTGACCTCCACAGTATATGACCCATGTGCTCAGCGAGCGGTCCTGGTCATTTGTCGACGGAAAGCCTGCAGGCGCATGAACAATCATAAGAGAAAACATACAGGGATTATATACTCAGGAGTTATATTGGGTCTATATCGTAGTTGCCCAAAAGTAAGGTACGTAAACCAATGTACATCCCCAAGAACTACAATCCTTCTTCTGGGTATACCCCCCGAGAGGTGATTACCCCTAATTCCGGGAAACCCCATATGTACCACTGTCTAAACTCCTAGTATCCCCCTTAATAACCCCTATAGTAATCCCCTATATAATCCCCTATATAAGCCCCCTTCAAGGAGTTTAGACTATAGCTCATATAAAACCACCCAACCCCCTGAAGTCAAATACTCCGAATGTGGTATATTTCATTATCGTGGGAATATTTAATATTAGGAGGGGCGGTGGAGGGTTCCATATTCGGGTGAGGGGATTAGTAGTGACAGTTGTAATCGTCGTTGTGTCAAAGTTTGGGCGAATCCGGTAGTAGAAGTGTACAGGCTGTCGCTGTGGTCATCATGCTCGTAGCCATAGCACTGCCACAACGGTACGAGTAAGAACAGTTGCCGAAATTTACACCGGCGATAGCAGTGGCATGCAGTGGCATTGCTGATCCCAAAGGTGACAAGTAGCGAAGAAGTCCCAGTCAGAGTAATAGCCACACTACCAGTCATAGTGGCAATCACATAGTTATAGTCACATGATGCAGATCAAGTAGACATCTACACCCTAAACCCTAAAAAGCTGACAGGTTGAAGTCCAAGCCGGCTACAACTTCTCGCAGTGCCGTAGCTTCCAAGACATGACATGGACTCTGGGCCCTACTGGGTTGCTGTAAAGGAACTTCAATTAAGTTACCATAATATGGGTATACAATAAATGATAGGGTTTCCTTGTTGCAGTAGTACCTTAATTTTAGTTCCTTAACAGCAACCCAGCCTACTGAGCATGGAGAAAACAGCCAACCACACAAAGCCAACCACATAAACCCTTCACGTACACCCTCCCAACGCAAACCCTATGATAAAAAAAGTAGTTTCAATGTTCTATTCCATTACCCTTTTATAACCCCAATGTAGTCCCTTATTCCCCCTCCCTTGGATGCCGTTCCTCGCAGCACCCTGTGGCGGAGCACCCTGGTAACCTCCCCAGAGCCCAAGTAAAGAGGGGGGGCCCTGGCTTAGGCTGGCTTTCAAACTGAACCTCACTGATGGATGTAAAGGTTGGGTGGTGAAAGAAGTGACTATTGAAAACTATTGCTGTTTTAGGGCGAGTCCTGCTTGCTCTTACTTCTGACTATGGAACGGAAGGGAAGAGCCCTCATCAGGGCAGTTTTCTGATGTCCTTCAGTTTGCCCTGAAAACATATGGATTGACACCAGTTACCCACATTGCGGCTAAAGCTCTGTGTAAACTTCGCCCCCTGGGCCCCTGGGGCACCTTGATAGCCTCCGGGCCAAGAACGGCACAGGTTTGAGGGGTTTTCCAGGGCAGAGGGTCTAAAGGCAACACAAAATCGTCTGGCAGGATTGCTCATGGCGCTGCAAGTTATTGTGACGACTACATGTTTAGTATCACGGTTTCCTTTGGGGAAGAAGCCACTCTGGCCTTAATCTGCCTAGCACTAAGGAACTGGCTGTGGCTACGATAACGGGCCTTGGTTTCTGGTCCTCTGAATAACTTTTGAAACCCCTCATTGCTAGTTCTCTATCCTGAAAGCTTCTTGATACAAACAGCAAATTCTTTTGCGCTGCCTTGGCCTTTGGCTATCTTCGGACATTGACTGCAAAGTGCCCCCCCCCCCCATCCCATCGCCTGGCTGCCCAGGCTGTCCCTGGTAATATCCTCGTCAGGCAAAAGCGTGGGTGCCATTTCGAGGTGCTGGCACAGGCAAGCCAGCTCAAATAAGACCTAGTACTTGACAGTGCGTGTTAAGACAACATACATATATATACAAACATGTCCGTGTACATACTCGAGTTATTGGGCGCAGCTGAACAATCCATATTGGCACATGTGTGTGGACCATGCAATGCCCAGTCGAAAATAGAAAGCGGGCTGTCCTTGCTGCCCCTGCTGTGGTGGGTATCCTCCCTGCTGGGGGTAACCCTGCTGCTGGTAGCCTTAGCATGCATCAGAGCGCCAACGTCAGGATTCACTTCTCCCTCTGAAGCCCAGCGGCCGCCTTGCGGGGGGTAGCCCTGGCCCTGCGGCGGCGGACCCTGCTGCGGGCCCTGTTGGAAGTTTTGCTGCGGCGGGCCCTGCTGGAACTGGCCTCAACGAAGCCAAGACGTCTCATCTGGTCATGAGGTGAGAAACCTACTGGCATGCAGTCACCCACGCCTTGTTGCTGGTAGCCCTGCTGTGGAGGCGGGCCCTGCTGGAAGTTCTGCTGCTGCTGGAATCCCTGCTGTGGAGGCGGCTGCTGCTGCCAGCCTGACATCAGTCCATCACTTTGGCATGTTCCCAGTATCATTCACCCTCGGTGGCAGCATGCTCCCATCATGGGCCCCATGGAAGGGGAACATTCCATTTCATGCGGAGGCCTTGCTGCTGAAATGAGGAAGCGGATTCATGGCTTCCCAGGAAAGCCGTGCCTGCACAGTGATGCACACGGGCTTTGACATTCAGTCTTGGGCCACGGAGATTGATGTGAGGCTGCTTCGGAGGTAGCTGTCTTGTGCAAAAACTCAGCTCCAATTCTCCTGAGCCCTACTCTAAAGGGACCCTAGTATACTTTAGTAGTTTCCATTTTATTTTCCATTATCCCAATATACCCCCTATATACCCCCTAATTAACCCCAATATAAATGGCTACTATGATATAGGGGTTAGATAGGGGTTAATAAGGGGTATATTGGGAATAATGGAAAAGAAAATGGAAACTACTATAATTGGTTATATATACTATGAGCATCCGGCCGATTCCTGGGATCTGAGCCGTCGGCCGACGTCGGACCGCCGCGATGGCACTGCGCGGCTTCCGCAAGCTGGGACCAAGCCTATTGGAACAAGTGGCTGTTCCAAAATTATGAGAGTTTAGGGTTAAGGGTTTAGGGTTTAGGGTTTAGCCCATTGGAACAAGTGGCTGTTCCAGAATTATGTAGTATATTGGGGCTATGTAAGGATAATGGAAAAGAAAATGGAAACTATAGGGATTATAGGGTTTGTATAGGGGTTATATTGGGGTTATATTGGGATAATGGAAAAGAAAATGGAAACTACAGGGATTATGGTGATTATATAGGGGTTATATGGGGCTCCAAAATCTAATAGTAATAATAATAATATAATAATAATAATAGTAACAATAATATAAGAACAATATAAAAATCAAAATAATAATAGTAACAATAGTATAATAGTAACAATATGATGATAATAGTATCAATAATATAATAGTAATAATAAAAAAATAATAGTAACAATAATTATGGGGCCCATCTTTGGCCCCATAATAAACAGTCCCGATACTTGAAGGATTTATTCAGGGGAATCGTATGTCAGGAGCTGAAGATACGCCTGGAAAGCAACACCCCTGCAACTCCAGACATAACACGGGAGCTCACTGCTGCTTTTCTGGACTGTGATTTGTTCAGCACTCCCGCAACCCATGCTACACCACACTGACCCTAAATAAGTTGCCACAGTAGGTATCTCGTCAGAGCACCTCCACCCTCGTGCCTACCCTTTTGCGCGTATCACGCTGACTATGAATCCGATGACATGCGATACCCACATGGTTGCAGGCATGGATGAAGCCTGCATCGTAGTTGCCAAGCCAGTCTTGAGCACCGCGTCGCCTACCAGGTCCCAAGAAGCACTCATTGCTCGAGAAGCTGGTGACAACACCGCTGGACTCAGGTGTCATCTTCAAAAGAACTTCCAGCACATCAGGCGAGGCATTCATATGTCACTACACTCCCTCTGCTTCCATGGAGGATGCAGTTCACTCACTCTTGACCAAGCTCTATCCTGAGACCAATGCTGCCTGCCATGGCAAGACAAACAAGTCTGTCTCATCAAGAGCTGAACTCACCTGAAACACTTGTTACCACCTTGGGCCCTTGACCGAGGAAATTGCTGACATGCAGCTTTATGCTGCCTCACACCAATCCTATGTCTGGACAATCAGATCATCTGGTGGTCCCAAACCCTGGAGTAGAGTATCAAGTTAGAATCCAGCACCTCAGCCTTTGCAACAAGTCAGCAGGAACCTCAGGGCCTTTCCTTCCTTGAGAAGTTCGAGGACTGGTCTATATAATGATCCCTAACATCAACAAGAAGAATACCAAGATTCACTCCTCCACCCCCCTTGCCCGGCAGCCTGGGGAGCAGCGTAGCTACCGCTTCTGAGGCTGCGCGCGCCTGGCCACGAGCACTTTATGGAAGAATAATAACAACAATAATAGCAGTAGGGGTGGAGGTGGAGGTGGAGGTGGAGGTGGAGGTGGCGTTGGCGGCAGCAGCAAAGCAAGAGAATATAACTTTACGCTTCTCTAGAACTGAAGCCAAGCCTCGCAGAATGCCCAAGTTCATTGCAGAGCTAGTTCCATCCGTTCAACGTGGAACCACACTGTGCTGGAGGATTCACAGGCCAGCACAATAGGCGTGTCAAAAAAAACCTGGCAACGCCAAAGCTATGCGGCTGGGCGAGCCTCATCCAGTGAAGCCAGGGACGTCGCATGGAAACTCCTCAACCTGAAGCACACGCGAAGGATGCTCAAGAGTTAGGATCTCACATTTCCAAAACAACATCCACTAGCTACTCAAGAAAAGTCCCGACATGTATGTGACGCAGTGGATGACAGCAACAGCCAACTATTGCAGGGTTCGTCAGGTCGCGGCCTGACATCTCCAGGAGTCAGCAACGTTGGCCCTTGGTAGAAGAGCCCAAGCATCATCACAGCGTTGTTGATAGTATAAACTCTGCATGACCTTACCGCACTAACTTACCGGCTTCCCAGAGTTTAGGGTCGCACGTGAGGTCATGCAGGATTTGTGAATCAACAAGTTCAGCACTTATAGATCTAGTTGCATAAGGTCACCTACAGTTAGCTGTTAGAGGTCAACTGTAGTCCTGCTATAAAGAAGCAACTGCCTTCGTTTTTTGATCTAGTAACAAGATATTGTTTTGCAGAGTGCTCAATGCTCGTAATTTCAGTGTTTTACATAATTATTGCCCACACGTCCAGAACCCCTATATGACCTCGTAGCCCGAAACCTAAAACAGGTTCCGAGCTTGCTGGTGATCAAGAAGGAAAAGGAGAATGAATCTCTTTAGGAACCCCTATATTTACAATATTTAGAACCACCAGTAATGATCCTGAAAAGCCATGTTCCCACTCCCTGCTAACGACCCTAAACCCTAATTACCCTAAACCCTAAACTCTACCTTAGATAATATAGGCAGCTTCCATTCATTGCAGCAATACTACATTAAGTACCATCAAGCGAGAAGAGATCTTTCTTACTAGCCCTTCAGGGAGTGTACGGGAGAGGATCTTCATACTCATCCCCCGCGAAACCCCAATAGTCACCCCCCCACTCCAGCCAAAACCCTAAACTCTAAACCCTGTATTCACTGCCCCAGTTCCGCTTAAGCACCAGAAAGCTTAGGCGCCCGCCTGCATCCCAGCAAGCGGCCAAGGAGCCTGGGGCCATGGCCTGAGACGCACTGATGCAAAGGGTTTAGAGTTTTGGGACTATAGGGAATAGGAATTAGGGTCTGGGGTTTAGAATTTAGGGAGTAGGGATTAGGGACTAGGGATTAGGGTCTAGGGTTCAGGGTTTAGGGTTTTGGGAATGGGGATTAGGGTTTAGGGAATAGGGTTTAGGGCCTGGGTTTACGGTCTAAGGTTGAGGATTAAGGTTTAAGGTTTAGGATTTGAGGATAACGGTTTGGGATTAGGGGCTAGAGGATTACAGTTTTGGGGTTGGGTTGAGAAATCAAGGTTTAGGGTATAGGTGTCAAGCATCACGGGCTAGGGGTTGGAGCTTGGGGATACGGTTTAGCGGTTCGCATTCAAGGATTGAGCTTAGGGATTAGGTGTAAAGTTAAGGTTCGGGGCATAACGTTTAGTCATCAAATTCTACAAAGAAGAAGGTTTAGGATTTAGGGACTGGGCTTAAGGATTAAGCGCTAGGGTTTACAGTTCCCTTTTTGTGCCTATTTAGCAGGTTTGGGGATTGCGGTTTAGGGCTAAAGGTTTAAACATTAAGGTTCTAGGATTAGGGCTTTTGGAATTCGGTTGTGGGATTGGGCTTGAGGTTCTTTAAAACAAGCCGTGAGCTGTCCGTCTGCGGAGGTTTGATTGAGACACAAAACATGCACTCTATGCTCTGCATCACGAGCAGTATGGAGTGCTTGGTCCACCATGAAAAAGGAAGGTTTAAAGCGTATAGTCCACGGTTTAGGCAGTAGGGTGTAAGGATTACAGTTTGTCAGTGTTTGGGTACTAGGATCAAAATTTATGGCTGAGGGTTTGGGGATTAAGGCGTATAGGGACAAGATAGTATGTTGGAGGAATACGATTGTTGTCTTTTTGGCACGCATTTTCTCCAGGATCCAGGCCCGAAGGAATACGATTTAGGGACTAAGGTTTAGGGGGCTGAGGTTTGGGGATTGCCCTTTTAAGGGTTCAGTTGCTTCCAGGCTTTGGGATTAAGGCTCCTGCTAAGCTTCGTCAAGTGACAGACAACTACACCGCCGGTCAAACACCATCAGGAAAAAAGAGCCAGTTTCTACTACCTCGATTTGGCAGCAAAGACAATACCCTAAAAGGGGAAACACAAAAGAGAAATCCATATGCAGGAACCCTAAAAGAAGAAGCCGCAGGCATAAGCGCTAAAGCCGCTAAAGCAGGTACTGCAACAGAGGAACCCTGAAGAAGGAGCCCTGAAAAACTGTACAGAAAAACCAAAAGCAAGTAAAACAAGTACTCCACTAGGGCTTGAAATACCATGTGATGGCAAGGTTTAGATATTATGGTTTAAGGGCTAAGGCTTAGGATCAGGTTTCAAGAATTCAGGTTTAGGAGTTTAGGGGTCAGGACCTAAGCTTCTTAGCTTTGAGGATTAGCCCTCAGGTTTCCTTCGGAGACTAGGGGTTAGGGTTTTTAGGGATGTTTGGGTTCAGGGATTCGGGTTTAGGGTTTAAGGCTCAGGCATCCAAAGTTTCAGGGTTTCCCAAAATTTGGGGTACCAATTTGGGACCTAATAAGGACTATAGTATATTGGGGTCTATATTGGGGTCCCCCTATTTTGGGAAACTACCATTTGGGTTCAATGAATTAGGGCTTAGGAATTCTTTTTAAACCCAAAGGACTCTTGGCCTTCAATCCTCTGCACCGCGATGCTACATGCGTAACGGCGCAAGAGACGGATTAGGGGTTTCGGCCTTCAGGCTTCAGTTTTGCGATTAGGGTTTAGGAATACGGGTGTAGGGGTTGAGGTTCCGAGGTTAGGGTTCAGATGGAGAAATTAGGGTTTAGGGCTTGATGTTAGGTCTTAGTTCTCAGGGTTCAGGGTGCTTGAGGGGTGAGGGATTATAGCCTTTGCGAAATGTAGGGATTTGGGTTCCGGGATTAAGGTCTAAGGATTAATTTTAGGAATCATGGTCTAGGGCTAAGGGTTTAGGCTTTTTGGGCAGGAGGTTTAGGGTTTCGGGTTGCTACTATTTGGGGCTTAGGTTTAATTTAGTGATGTTTAGGGATTAGGGTTCAGGGATTGGGGCTTCAGGAATAAGGTTTAGGTTTACAGGTTGTTTTGCTTTTAACTTATTAACGTCATGTTACCCACATCTTTCAGCAAAGTAAAGCTCGTTCAGAGCGGGCATATTCAGGCCGCTGTGCGGCCCCTTGGCAACCTTCAACCCTAAACCCTAAACTAGGGATTATGTTTTGAACTGCGCAGGCTTTCGTCAAATTCGGGATTATATATACCCTATTTCCTACTAACCCCCTGTAAGGTACTCCTTGAGCACGGCTCAACAACTCTGGCACATCCCTCGTCAGTACTGAGTTTAAGGTCAAGGGATTACGGTTTAGGAGTTAAGTTTGGGGATTTAAGGTTCAGGGTCTAGGAAATAATGTTTAGGGCGTTGGATCCAGGTTCTTTGGCTTAGGCCTAGGGGTTTCAACCCTAAACCCCGAACCCTATACTATAGTGGTTTCCATTTTATTTCCATCATTCCAATTTAACTCTACTATTGCTGTTTGGGAGTCGAGTTTGGGTTTGGTTTAGGGGTTGATGTTTGGGGAAAGGAGGTTTCTGGGAGTTTGTCAAAGGATTAGTGTTGTCTGTCATGAGAAAGGATTAAGGTTTGGGAATGAAGATTTAGGGATCCGGATCTAGATCTTTTTTGGTTTGGGTCCACGGGTTAGGGTCAAAGGATTAAGTCTTAGGGAGTAGGGTCTAGGTTTCAAGGTTCGGGTTGAGGGATGAGGATTGCGGTTTAGGCAATGGGTCTTAGAAAAGTTTAGGGATTAGAAATCAAGGCATTTTTTATGGGACCTTGTCCTTCTTGTTGCCAGTCGGGAAGCCCCGCCAGTTGTGGTTGCAACGCTCTTTTAATTAAACAGCTGGCAGCAGTTTAAAGCCTACTGGCTGAGCTCTCCTTCGAACTGGTTCAGCTCCCAGATCTCTTGTGGGTTTACGGAATCAGGATTTGGGTTTGGAGATTAGGGTTTAGGGTTTAGGGTGTAGGTTTTGGGGAGTAGCGTTTGGGGACCCCAAAAACGGCTTAGGTTTTCGTATCGCAGCTCGGCAAGGCTCGAAAACCTTAGTAACTGGCTTCAGTTCCGGAATTCGAGCCTGGGGGGAAGCAGCATGTAGAGATGGGGTGTCCAAGCCTAAGACCGTTTACTTCGAGGTCCACGGAAGTCAGTACGTACAACTGGGCGGAACCATACTTATCATTGGGACAATCTCTAGAAGGCCATTACAAGGAGGTGTGTAACCTTAAACTAGAATTGGAGTAACCCAAGGGACCATTCGCGGTGGATAAAAGGAATTTGGGAGCAGCTCTTGCGCTTTTTTGCCGTGTTTCTCACATGTTGGCTACCTTTCAAGTCTTCATGTACTCATGATGCCCTTCATCTGCTCCACGACCCTCTTGATGCTCACCCCTAATTGTAGCAGAGCTTAGCGTGAAGGGATCAGGATATACGACTAGCATGTAGGTGCAGGGGATTCTCCAAATCAGGTAACCTGAACGGTTCCTAGGAACGCCTTGAGAATCTCGGATCCCTCATAGAAGGAAACCTTCCTATCAGACAGGCAAAGCACGAAGTTTTGTAGAGCGCCCTAATCCCTACATAACCCCCCTAAAACCCTAGTTTGCATTTCATGTTTCATGTCCTTTCCCACTTGTATCTCCATCATTGGAGTAACGTCCTATGTGATCCCGATACAGCCAGGGAGAAGAGACCAGCTTTCCAATCTTAGCCTCAACCGGTAAACAGAAGGTGTTATTTAGGGTACGCCAAAAAAGGGGCCATAGTTTCTCACTCTCCCCCCAGGTCGACCCCTAACCCTCAATCCCATCTATCCCTATATTTTGCCAGTATATTACCTCTTCAAAAGGATCTTTTGATGAGTCATATAATGAATTCCTAGTCTCCCCCTTACTAACCCCTATAATACTCCCCTACAGAATGCCCTATATAACCCCTTTATGGAGTTTAGGCTATAGCTCATATGAACCCTATAAAATCCCAGTTTCCATTTCAATTTGCATGTCCGTTTCCATTTGATTCTCCATTATAAGGGGATAGCACCCCTAAACGCCAAACCCTAATCCCTACCTATATAGCCCACTATAGAACCCCATATAATCCCTATATAACCCCTATATAACCCCATAGAATCCCTAATAACCCCATATAATCCCCCTATATATACACCTTTAAAGAGACCTAGCTCACATCAACCCCCAATGCAGCTTTGCACGACGCCGGCCTGGAGGAGCGCCACGGGACTTTGCACGAAGCGTCTTCAGAGCCCAAAGCGAAGATCCGCCCATGTAATCTATAGGTGATATATAGGGGTTATATAGGGGTTATATATGGGATAAGGGTTTAGGGTTCAGGGGTACTATTAGGGTTATATTGGGGTTACATGGGGATAATGGGAAAGAAAATGGAAGCTACTATGATGGGAATGGAATATTAGGATGAGGGTTTAGGGTTAGGGTTCGGGTTTAAGGTTTAGGGCTAGGGTTTAGGGGTTAGACTTTAGGGTTGGGGGGTAAGATTAGGGGTATATTCGTGTTATATGGGATAAGGGTTTAGGGTTTAGGGGTACTATTAGGGTTATATTAGGATTAGGGTTTAGGGTGAGGGTTTAAGATATATGGCTAGGTTTTTTTGTGTTTACATCGGCTCTTTTATGTCTGCATGATGAAATACACTCCTTGGGTCGGCCGAAAGTTACCGGGTCACCCAGCGACTTCAAGAAGAGGACCCTGTACAGGGGTAAATTCGCGTTATATGGGATAAGGGTTTAGGGTTTAGGGGCACTATTAGGGTTATATTGGGGTTACATGGGGATAATGGAAAAGAAAATGGAAGCTACCATAATGGGATTTTCTCAACATAGGGGGGCCCCTAAAACGCAAGGGACACATAGCTGGATGATGGGAGGGTCCTTCTTATGGACCTGATGGGGATTACAAATAAACACCCAGATCTAGAGGTTTAGTAGGGGGAGTTACAGGGAATCTGGGGACTACGTGGACTGTAGACAACTGCGCATCCAAAAAGTGCATAAGCGCTGTGTACTGTGGTTATAATCCCCCTTAAGTAGGTAGAATATGATTTTGGGTATATCAGAATAAGATCCCCATATACCACATATTCTATCTTCTTATGGGGGACTATAGTGAATGTCCCCAATAGTTTGGAACCGTATTTGCTGTCACCTGACAAGAGATCCTTTTTGTCTGCAGACCCCTCGAAGCAGAAACTAAAGCAAGTCAGGAGCCACTCCTTGTGGTGGCTGCTTCCCCTAGTCATCTCAGAGTCTTCGTCCATTTATATATATATATACATATCTACACGGCATCCGGGGGTTCCCAAATTTAGGGTCCCTTTGTTGGGATTCCCCCATAATAATGATCAGAATCATAATATATTGGGATCTATGTTGGGGTCCCTGTTGGTAGAGGCTGCCATCTACCTATTGTATCAAATCGTCAATGAAGGAGCTCTGAGACACAACGGATGCTAATGATGTAGCGGGCTACCCGACTGACACTGCGCGGTCTTTGAGACTTTGCTCAGATTCTCGGCGGGGCCCTTCGCAAGCAAGCCATTGTGCCACCATGTGAGTACTGTTTTTTGGTGGTTGAACCTAGTAAGAGAATATTCCTTATATTAAATACTATACCCCCAAAAGGAGGATATAATCTTAGTCTATATTGGGTACCATAGTATCCCCAAATAAAATACTAATTACTCATGTCTTGTGCAAGTTCATCTCTCTGGTATGTGATTCGTTGTTGCGCAGCAGAAGCTACAGCAGCAGCAGTGGTGCAACAGCCACTGAAATAACAAGCAATCAGATTGAGGTAAAACATATGCTGCCTGCTGATAACAGACGGTCACCTACGGGAATTCGCGCCCGTCTCATGCCATGCGCTGCATGATGGAAAGCCTTTTGCTTGGGAGCCTGAAGCCTCTACATGTGAAAAGCAAGGTTTGCAATCTTTTTTGGCATGCTCTGACAAGCCTTCCTTCAGGAGAAGCTTCTCTCTGTCGTACAAAACTTGCAAGGACATCCCCCAGTCATGCCTTGCCCAAGCAGCAGGGGCCCGCAGGCCCCAGTCTGGTGCTGGAGGCGCGGGCGAGGCCTCCAAACTCAGACGCCCTCAGGCGTGCAAACTTGATCCTTGTTAGTTCAGATCCTTTGACAGCTTCCCCCCTTAATTGCGACGCACGAACAGATGAAAGACCTTGAGCGATCCCCACATGGAATCCATGAGGACCGTCTGTGAGCGCAGATTTCTGGTTACCAACGGAAAACATTACACCGGGCACCTACGGAGCGCCACAACAACCATTCCTGCTCCTGAAGCGCAACTATTCTTTTTCATGCCCATGATCTTCCTGTTACTTACTGGCATTGACACACCTTCTTGAGAAATGAACAGCCGTTGCAACACTGATGTTTGCGCGCCTCTGTTTGTTGGATCCCGCATCGGCTACAGAAGGACGCCTCCCAACGTGTCAAGGCAAGTAGAACTTCTGAATGATAGTCTCAAATGGTAAGGAGCACCGGCAGGCGGAGAAGGTTAAGATCATCCAGAATCTCACCAGCATGATCATCATCATGATCGTCGTCATCTTCGTCGTCCTCCTCCTTCCTCCTCCTGCTCCCTCCTCCTCCTCCTCCTCCTCCTCCTCCTCCTCCTCCTCCTCCATGTCATCTTGCTCGTCGTCACCATTCTCATCGTCACCATTCTCCTCAGCGAGGACGACGACGGCGGCTTCTTTCATCTCCATCACCACAAACAAACCGACGCATTGACTGCGGCAGTCGTCCTCAGCGTCATCCCAGTAATGGTGGAAGGAATGTAGCCATGGAGAACATTTGTTGCAGCAATACTAGCCGTAGAAAACAATCGCATCCATTAAAATCATTAGACATTGCTGCATCTTAAGTGGGCTCATGTAATCCATGTCCTTGAGCAACTTGACGCTAAAGATCTGCAAATCTTCAAAAAAGACAAGAGCATGTAAGAGCCAACTCAGATACTCCTGGGCGTGGGCCTCAGCCGACACAGGAGCTCCACAGTAGGAACAGCGCGACATGACCGGCGCTGCTGGCGGCGGAGGTGCCTCGAGAAACTCACTTGCTGCCATAGCAGCAGTCTTCCACTGCTGCATTCCTGCAACTTTCAACTTTCGGACTCGAAAAGCAGATCCCCTGCTGCAAACCTGTGCCGCAAACCTGTCTGCGCTCAACTGGTGACGGCGCCCGCGGCCCAGCAAATCCTGCAAAATGGAATCCGTATCACTGGTAAGCTGCGGCACTCGTCTGTCCATGCATTTCCCACCGTTCAAAATGATGTGATGAGAGCCGGAGCCTATTGTGTTTCCAAGCTAAAGGCTCATGGCTAAACTTTTGCTCGCTTTGTGTCTGCTCGCTGCGTCCTTCACATCGACGTGCTGACGGCCCCGCTGCGGATATGGGATTGCGAGCGAACGATCCTGGCACCATGAATCATTTCCACGATAAAATTGGTCTGGGAGCCCATTTGAAGCCCTCCTAAGTCTGTCATGTTTTGGCACGTGATCCATGCTGCACTTCTACATCCTCCGCTTGCTTGAAGCTGCTGTATGAATCACGACCTGGCACCCCAGCCATCGCAGCGTCCTGCACCCTCCTGAATTCGAGGAGTTGGCGGCGGAGGCCTGCTCTCAGGTGAGACATTACAGGAAGCAGATTCGTATGCGTCAGGAGAATCAGGAACACAGGTCCTGCAATTGAGTTCCAATTGCTCTTTGCCTTCCCGAACGAGAATCAAAGAGGGCAGCGTGACGCTGCAAGATTTCGGACCTTCCACAGACAATTCCGTCACATCTTGGCCTAGCGCCAGTCTGGCAATCTTTGCTCACAACTAACGTAAGCCAGATACACCAGAACTGCATACCGTGTGCATCTCGTGGCCAAATGTTCCTAGCAAGTCATACCTGCGAATCAGGCTGTCTGGGGCGGTGGCCCTTGCGCACTGAGTCCACTTGGGGCCTTTGGCGCCCGAGCTGCGCAAACGACGCCGCCCGTAGGGGCTGCTCGGAAGGCCTGGACAGCTTCATCTGCTAAACGCTATGGACATGGCAGAGCGTTTTTGCTACACGCTTGTGCCTGCATGGGATCCGCCTGCGCGCTGCCAAACTCTTCTGCGAACCATGCCTGTCCAAAAGCAACTGTGCTGGTCAGGCATCCAGCGGATGCCATCTTGTGACCTCCCAAGTGCCTCCTGATATCTCTGGTCGAGCGCTGCGACGCGCTCCAGGAAAGCATGTGCATCTGTTGACCTAATCCCAGAGTCCGTCATGTGCCCGAAGGCCCTATGGTCCCTACGGTATTAGGACGCGGAGGCATGTCAAGCTTCTGCTACCAGGCCCCGAGCGACTCGAGGAGGCGGTCCAGATCCACACAATATCCCTGACCGCTCAAGAGATTCAAGAGAATGTCTGGCTCTTTGCTGCTTTCGCTATCTTATGTGCTCAAGCATCTTCTGCAGCCTCTCATGTCCAACCTTTGGCGTGCATTTTTCCACGACTGCATTAGATCAACGTTCACATCAACACACCCAGACACGGATGGGCACAGGTTGCACGCCTCCAGCGCCTTGTACTCTTGAACATCTGCGCCTCTGCCCGCACCCGAACAGGAGAAAATGTCAAAGCCATCGGGAAAATGAGCCACCAGAATACGTGACTGTCCATTCATGTACGCATCAAGCCAAGTGCGGCACGATCCCAGGGAAGATCCATGCGCCTGTGATCGGTCTAGCCCACACACTAGTACCCCAGATGAGTGAGGCCTCTTATGACGAAGCACAGCAAACAAGCAAGGCGTCGCAAGGGCTTGGTCCCGGAAATCCCCGAACAGTTTTCGAGCTGGAGCCTGCTGCGAGGCGAAATACCGGCCATTGCACTGTAGCTCATATCATGAGTCAACTGTTGCTCCTGTCTGACTGGCTTGACGGAGGAAGTTAGCTTCTTTTTGAAACCGTGAAGGCTTGAGCCGTCACCAAGCAAGGAGAGGCTACCGCCCAGCCGCACCGACTTGCAGGCTCGAGAACCTTCACTGACAACAGTCCAATGGAAATGCCAGAAAGGAGACAGACATCAGCACGCACACTTTTGCACAACCACGCGCACCGTAGCTGAGCAGTCAGTGCAACTGAACAGTTGCTCTCCAGTTGAGAACATGATCCATCAGCTGCGATCAATGCACTTCCCTTGATTGAGGTCTCAGCAGCGGGTCTGCGTGGCAGAGACCATCAGGCAGTCCTGGCAAGTAGTCTGGACGAGCAGATACGTGTAGCTAGTACCCCTAGATTCTGAGCAGCTGTGTCATAGACATTGATAAAATGTCAGCTCGCCCTGCCGTCGGGCCTCCCCACGGCCAAGCCAGCGGATTCTGTGCAGACCACCAAGCCTTGGTTTATATACCTGTGCAACTTCGATGACATATGCTGTCGTTGAGCATGGTTTGTACGATCCACCCAGTAGATCCCAAATGTGAACTTCAATAAAACTTTGTAAGGTGCAGACGAAAACGAGTGCCTTAATGGGCATGCACCAACACCATGTTAGAGATATCGGTTCAGCAATGAAATGCACCACTCCAGTGCAAGCAGAACTGCCCACAGCAGCCGAGCACCAAGCTAAGGCTACGAAATGGGCCTGTACCCGTAGCAACATCGAGCTAGGCGTGCCCAAGCCTCCACAGAGCCCAAGCTGGAAACTGATTCTTGATGCAGCGAGACATTGATCTTGCCTGTGGTCAGGAGCTCTGAACCTGCCATGGCCCATAACAAGCACGCACATCTCAAATGAAAAAACAGTTCAACCTTTTCTGAACACAGCCAAGGGCACTTGAGCTGAGCTGTTCGAGCACAGCCCCTGCTGAAGAAGCGGCACAAACCGTGCTCCCTGATCAGGACGGCAGCTCATATGCGCATCAAGACTACATGGCACATTAAATTACACATCAGATCAATGTAGACAGCGCGCAGCATCCCAATTGATCTGCTGGACATCGATGGGAGAACTAATGATGCAAGTTTCTTCTCGCAAATCAGGTGCACCGCACCTTCCACAGCCGCGGCGCAGCTAAACGGAAATGATCCGGCAAGCACGAGGAGTAGCAGCACCTGCAACATAACATCTGGGAGGCGAAGCTCCACATTAAGGAGCAAAATGTACGATGTGTTGTTAAAGGCTCATCACTCAAGTGAAGACGACAACTACCGGTAAGTCGAACCTTTTCA